ACTTGGAAAAGCATGATTTTAGTTATTTAGTAGAAAATCTCTGTTTTTCTGATTACTGTTGAGATGTTTGCCATTACAGTTCAGTGCAAAGGGGTCATTTCACTAAGATTTTCAAGGGTCACTTGCAGATACATGACATAGGAAGGAGGCAGAAGAGAACATTGTCCTAGCACCAGAGTATTGACACATTGGTTCATGCTTTGACTCTTAACGTTTATTCAGTAATTATTTAATGAACTCCTCTAATGTGCCATAGCATGAGACTGCCAGGTCCTGGGGATGGTGAAGTCAGTAAGATCTTTGCCCTCAGGCAACTCAAACAGTTGGCCAGTCTGCCACACATCAGTAACAAGCACTTATGTAGGGTACAGTATATGAGGTAACGCCAGTAAAAATGTCTCAAGGGCAATGCCAGCTGTGCCCCAAGGATAAACCTAAGTGTAGAGAGGTACACAGCAGCCCTGAGGAAGGAAGAGCCCAAGGCCAGCCAAGTTTGGGTAGAAAAATGCTTTTGATACCTCTGTGCCAGTTTATGCATCATACTATATTTACAGCAAAGCCCCTCAAAATAAAATATGATAGAAAAAACCTAAATAGAATGGTAGAAGTGCTATACAGTCTCCCATACAGATGGAGGGGACACTTATTTATTTTTTATTGTGGGAAATTTCAAATATATATAAAAGTGGAAAGAATAGTGAATTCTTTTGGTCTGATACACCTCAGCAGTTAGCGACATATGAATCCATCTCATTTCATTTCTTTTATTTCTTTATAAAGATTTTATTTATTTATTCATGAGAGACAGAGAGAGATAGAGAGGGGGGGGCAGAGACACAGGCAGAGGGAGAAGCAGGCTCCAGGCAGGGAGCCTGATGTGGGACTCGATCCCAGGACCCCAGGATCACACCCTGGGCTGTAGGCAGGCGCTAAACCACTGGGCCACCCAGGGATCCCCATCTCATTTCATTTCTATTCCCCACTCACCCAATGGAATTTTTTGAGGCAATCTCCAGACATTATTCTGCCCATAAATATTTTAATATTTGTCTTTGATTGCAAAATATGGCCATTCTCACATGCACTTTCCTTTGCAATGTGATAAGCCTGGTTCTCCCAACCAGTTGGGGCACCTGTTCCCCATCCCTTGAATCTGGGCTGGTCTGGTGACTCACTTTGGCCAATAGAATGACACAGAAGTGATGTCCTATGGTTACCAAACTGAGGCTTCAACAGACTTTATAGTTTCTGCTTCTACTCTCCTGGAAATTCTGCCAAAACTGCCAGGTAACAAGATATATTGAATATATGTCTAATAACCTTGAGCACATGTCTTTTCATAGTTTTGACAGTACACCTTTGGAACTCACATAATCTATGGCATTGTTGGGTTAGAGGGTAATTGCTTGTGTCATTTTGCTATACATTGCCAAACTGTCTCAGGGGGTGTGCTGTTTGGCATTTTCATCAGCAATGAATGACAGTGCAGAGGAGTATTTTTTTTATTTAAATATTTAAATTCAATTTGCCAACATATAGTATAACACTCAGTGCTCATCCCATGAAGTGCCCTCCTTAGTGCCTGTCACCCAGTTACCCCATCCCTCTACCCTCTTCCCCTTCTGCAACCCTTTGTTTCCAAGAGTCAGGAGTCTATGGAGGAATATTTTTAATATCATTGATGAAAAATGGTTGCTATTTCACCAAGAGTATAAACATTCCCATAGAAAATGTCAAAATAATCATAGATTGTTTTGTAGGCAAAGTAGTTAGTTGGAAACATCGGAGATCTGTATTATGAGGAAGGACGACGGTGACTTGCAGGCCTAAGGAAGTACTGGAGGACCCTTGTGATCCCTGCAGAAGGCCTGAGCTCTACAGAGGGTCTCCCTCCTCTCCTCCCTCCTCTTTAGAGGGCCGGGAGGTGTTTTACCTCTGTCTCTTGGCCATTTGTGCCATGGACGCAGATCAGGCATATACCGTGTGCATGGAAGTCTGCTGTGAGAACTCAAGCAATGACTATCCAAAAGTCTCCAGACTCTCTGGACCTGAAGTTGAGGTGGATAAACTCTTGCTCTACTGGGTTGTGCTATGTGATACTCCATTTGCCTCACCTCATCAAGTAGAGCAGCACTGACAATGTCTAGTAGCTGTTTTACGTGCTTAGACAGATCGTGTGATTTTCCTCCGCAATTGAACGACATTTTCTTGGCCTGAAGGATATCTGATTTCCATTTACTTCCCGTAATTTTACTGATTCACTCTTTCAGTGGTTTCGTCACCCAGGTAGGGACAAAGGACAGCCCATGCTTGGGAGTTGGGCACGGAGGTGAGGGAGGAAAGGATGGTTCTGGTGTAGAGGCACAAGAAACGGGGAAGGCTGGATGGTCCTGAATGGACGTCTTGGGTTCTCATCCTTTTTGTTCTGTAGGCATGTAGCCCTCATTTGAGGGCTCTCTTTTCTCAACTTTCATAAAGCATGACCTCCTCGCTCTCCACCTGATCCACTGTTTGCTCTTTCTCTACACACACCATGGCTCTGCTCCCCACACCCCTGGTCTCTCATTATGCATGCCTTTCCCCCTTGTACTGAAGTGATGCATTTCAACAGGTGACTGACTCTTGTTCTTCAATTAAGAAATGTCAACACTTAGAAAATAAGGCTTTATATATTTGGAAAAAATAGGAACAACATATAAATTTATGAAGCAATAGCATTCAATAAGATGCAGTAGATGTACAGTAATCAAGATACAGAGTCTTTACAGATCATGATCTCAGAGTTGTGAGATCGAGCCAGCATGGGCTTCTCACTAGACATGGAGTCTGCTTAGAATTCTCTCTGTCCCTCTCCTTCTGCCCCTCCCCCTTCTCTGAAAAAAAGGAAAAAAAAAAGAAAAAGATACAGAGTCTTTAAAAGTTCTAAACTGAGGGATTTTTACTCCTCTATATTATGTTCTTGCAAATTCTCAAGACCCATAGTACTATATTTGTTATTCTTTTCCCTTGGAGACAATCTCAAGCATGACAAAGATAAACAAATGAATTGTCCATCGGAAATTGTTCCAGCTTTGTTCAACAAAGATTAAAACTGTTCTGATTATTCTCATTTGTTTTCCTGGTAAAGCTGTGTGGCTTGGCTCTTGTCAGGCTGTTCGGATTTGGTTCATTGTGCTCCTGCACCTTCATTTCACTTCCCAAGATGGCCAGATTTGTATGTTTAGTGATGACAGCAGCTCTGGTCCTGAGTTTTCCTTTGCCTCCCCAGCATATTTCTGTAGATGTCCTACTATCATCCCTAACTTAACATGTCCCCTCAGATTGATGCTAAGTGGCCAGTTCTTCTGTTAACCACAGCCCTGTTTTGAAGTCCAGAACTCTTCCTTTCTATTGTAACCCATCAGTGTACTTCAATTCCTATTTCCTATTTCTAATCACAGGATTATACCATACCAGACATCAAAGAGAACTTTTAATTGAGTCTAGCATCCTACATCAATTCTTTTTTGCTATGGTTCTGTAACTTCTCTCTCTGGCTCTGTCCAGCTGGCTCTGAGGATCTGTGCTGTGGGGGTCCCTTCTCTATCTATGGGAAGCTTGCGCAGGTGGTATTTGGATAACCTCTTCTGACATATTTATAACACTCCACACTGGGCAAACGCTTAGCCTTGTGGCAAGTCTGTCCTGTTCCCACCTTCTGGTAGCAAAGTCAGACAAAGACATTATAGGAACAGAAAACTACAGACCAATATTCCTTATGAATATTTATGCAAACTTTTAAAAATGCAAACATTTTCTAAAAAAATTAGTGTTTCAGAGTTGGGGAAGGGGCAGAGGGAGAGAATATCCAAGCAGACTGCTGCTGAGTGTGGAGCCTGATATGGGGCTTGATCCCAGCTTGTCCTGTGCTGAAACCAAGAGTCAGATACTCAACTGACTGGGCCACCCAGGCACCCCTAATGCAAACGTTTGTAACAGAACACCTTCATACACTGATGGCAGGAGTGTAAAATGGTGCAGCTGTTTGGAAATAGTATTTCCTCAAAAAGTTAAGCTATGATCCAGCAATTCCACTCTTGGTATACACCTGAGAGAATTGAACTCATATGTCTGCACAAAAAATTGTGTGCAAATGTTGATAGCCACGTTATTCACAATAGCCAAAAGGTGGAAACACCTCAGATGTCTCTCAGTTAATGGAAGGGCAGCAATAATGTGGTCTATCCACACAGTGGATATTAGTCAGTCATAAAAAAGGAATGGTGTACTGATACATGCTCGAATGTGGATGAATTTTGAAAACATTATGCTAAGTGAAAGAAGCCAGACACACAAAAAAGGCCACATATGGTATGATCATATTCATGTGAAATGTCCAGAATGGGAAATCCTATAAAGACAGAAGGTAGATTACTGGTTGCCAGGGGCCAGGGAAAGAAGAGAATGAGGAGTGATAGCAAATGGGGTATGTTTTTTTTCTGGGGTGATGACAAAATGATGGAAATAGATAATGTTGCATAGTCTTGTGAATATGTTAAAAACCACTTTAATTTTATGATTTATGAGTTATATCTTAATAGAAAAAACTGTCTAAAGGAAAAAAAACCTTTATAGTGCCTAGCAGAATATTGAAGGTAAGTAGGTTCTCAAGTAAATATGAGTTAATGGATGAGCACCAAATATTTCTGGAAAACTTTTTCTAGACCACAAATACTGCCATCATTTGTTGAATAATAAGACAAGAGTGAGCTTCAAGTAACTTACCCCATGTAATCTCTAAGGCGTGTCCTGGGAGTTGGTTTTGGTCAGGACTTAAGTTCATCATTTCAAACTCTTCCTCTTTTTTTTTTTTTTTTTTTTTTTTTTTTAAGTAGGCTCCAAGCCCAATGTGGGGCTTGAGCTCAAGACCCTGAGATCAAGAGTTGCACACTCCACTGACTGAGCCAGCCAGGGACCCCTCAAACTCTTCCTCTTAAGCATCATTTTATTTTCACTTTCAGCATCACCATGACAACCTGTTCCACAGTGGCTGCCCTGGGGATGATGCCGCTCTGCCTCTATCTCTACACCTTCTCCTGGAATCTTGAGCAGAATCTCACCATTCCATATCAGAACATAGGTCTGTATGGGGCTTGTGAAATGGAATTGTAATTATAATGGTGATGGTAATATTAGCTGGTTTTTTTTTAAGATTTTATTTATTTATTTGAGAGAGTGAGTGAGAGAGAGAGACTGAGCAAGAGGGGGAAGGGGCAGAAGGAGAGGGAGCAGCAGACTCTGCAGTGAGCAGGGAGCCAGACGCGGGACTCGATCCCAGGACCCCAGGATCACAACCTGAGCTGAAGGCAGATGCAACTGACTAAGCCACCCAGGCATCCCAGCTGTTGTTTATTATGTTTGCCCTCTATGTGGGTATTTTAAAAAAAGATTTTATGTATTTATTCATGATAGACACACAGAGAGGGAAGAGAGAGAGGCAGAGACACAGGCAGAGGGAGAAGGAGGCTCCATGCAGGGAGCCCGAAGTGGGACTCGATCCCGGGTCTCTGGGATCATGCCCTGGGCCAAAGGCGGGTGCTAAACTGCTGAGCCACCCAGGCTGCCCTGTCGGTTTTTAAATTAATTCTCTAACACTTCTATACATTCTGTTACTAGTTCCATTTCCTGGATTTATAGGACGATAGAATTTAGGTAACTTCACCAAGTTTGTGGAGCTGATCAGCGAAGAACTGGAATCCTGACTCTCGGATCTGATGGCAAAGTCCAAGCTTTTTTTTTTTTTTTTTAAATCCAACATGAATGCTTCCTTCTGATTATTAGAGCGTATCCACATGTCACAACCATACCCATAATTCTTCCATATCTCCTTTCCTGATTGTCACTTCTCATTAAACTGCCCTTTTTCTAGAGATTTCAGTCAACTTAACAGGCTTGGAAGAAAACCTTGGTGAAATGATAAGGTTATTCTCATTTGCTCAGAGTTTTTGGAGAATTGGCAGAAACTGTGATTCTTAAAACTGTCAATCTGAAGTCTCAAGTAATCACTTGAAAGGCTTCACAACTCACGGCCTGTAGTTAAAAACCGTGAATAGAGTCACGTTCTGCTAATAACTGAAGCCCATTGAATTTGTAAAACCTGAGGGAAAGCTTAGAAATCAGGATTTTATGTGCAACGTTTTCTGATCAGTCAGTTGTTTACATATTCTGTTTTGATAATATATTCTAAAAGGCACTTGTAAACAATTAAAGCCCAATATGTGATGAACAACTCCTTTAACTTTGCAGCCAGTATTGCAGGCATCTGGCCAGATTTGGAAATTGACACATGAAAAGATAGGTGTGTGTGTCCTGTTGGCAAGTGGATCTCTGCTCTCCACTGAGCCTGCCATCAATGCTTTTATTCACTCGTGCTAATTAAAAGGCATTTTTCCCCACCCACCTTTGGGTTACCTGGCTACGTTTGCCGAATGAGAAGTTGCTTTGGTATGTGTAACAGATGCTGTTTTTATATCTGCAATAGGAATTCTTTACTTTGTGAAACAAGTGACCCATTGGCTTTAAATGGGGAAAATAACAGCTGTGGTTGTAGAGGGGTGATCCGATGCAGAGCAACCAAGGGATTTTTACAGATTCCTCCTGTTTTCTAATTTTTACATTTCTGGCTGTCTCTAAAATTCCGTGTCACCGTCAGAGGGATTTTGAGAGAGAAATGACGAAACATGAATAGTGGCATTCAGTAGTAATGTATACCCTTCAAAGACCATCTTCCAAAGATTTTTTCTTTCTTTACATTGGAGGTAGATGCAGATATAAAATGCGGCTTTTATTAAGCCTTTATCTAAAGCCTTTATCTATTTGAAATATAAATTGTTGAGCACTGGGCAGTCAAGGTGAGAGGGGATACCATCTGATGGATTTTTCTTCTTCTCAGGAATCACCCTTGTGTGCCTGACCATCCCCGTGGCCTTTGGTATCTATGTGAATTACAGGTGGCCTAAGCAATCCAAAATCATTCTCAAGGTAAGCAGCTCCATTAACATGGTAGTTAATGCATCCTTAGACTCAGAGATCGAAAAGACAGAGGAGACAATAACTGGAACAGAAAAGCCAGTCGAATACAGCCCCACACCTAGCAATTTTCCTTAAATGTCCTGCATTTTTGGATCTTACCTTCATAAATCCTCCGCTCTTGTCAGCCATGCTCTGTCGTTCCCACAGACCCATACACTGAGGCTTAGGACACACTGGCAAGTGTGGGACTCTTGCTTTAGTGACAGGAAAGTGAAGGCCTGGGTGTGGCCGGAGAGAACCCAGAGCCCATGTATTCACCAGGCTCTGCACAAGTGCTCTCAAAGTGAGAGCTCTTCAGGTGTGCAAGTGGTGGAACCTCAGTGTTGAAGAGTAGGGGTGGTTTCACGAATAAGTAGGGCTGTTTTTCAGAAGCATTACCGAGGAAGCTTCTGAGGTTGTCTTTTGTACACATGAATAAGTAAGTGCTGCTGACTAAATGAGAAAGTGTCAGAATGAAATCACGAAGCATACACCGAAGAGCCTGGCCATGGATTGATGGTAACTGGAACCTCCGACCTCCTCTTGACTTTCTGGCATTGTCTTCTGTTGCTGGAGGAACAAGCAGATGTCCATGTTTTAAAACATACCTCTAAAAACATCTAAAAATGACTTTTAAAAATATAAAAATAGCTTTAAAAATGTCGAGGCATTCTCAACAAAGAGGGCAATATCCTAGGGTGCTCCAGGTTTTTCTGATTACATATCATTTTAGAAGATGTAATAGCATTTATGCTATTTTATGAAGATTTTGAAAATGCTTCACTCACATTTTACATTTATAAAGAAATAAGCATTTAGGGCTAATTGGAGGTTCAGCAAATACATCTCATTTCATTTCGGTGTGTGGTCTATGGTTTGGTTCTTGCTGTCTGGCTCCCCCTGACAGGATGCTGCCACTCCCTGTGCCTGCACAAGTGGATGCTGCTTTTTCACTTTGGCACAAGATAGAACAACTCCCACTATTCTTCCGGTCCAGTGAGATTAAGTGGGGAAGGAGGGTGGACAAGCAAACAGATCGGTTGAGCCACAGAGAGCTGGAGGAAGACTTAAGTGTCATGCATTTGGATTGCATATGACTTGGTAACCATTATTTCAGTAGGAGCGTGGTAGTGTATGGTTATAATTTTACAAGAGGACAGAGTGTGTTCATGGGAACCTCTTACTTTTCAAATACTCTTAATTTCTGATAAAGTACTAGCAAGTACTCTGTTTTGTTAGGATAATTTTGGTATTTCCAGATCCTCTATTGGTCCCTTAGTGTCAATGGAGAAATCAGATTAATCTGTATATGACTTTTATTATCTGTAAAGAGCAGATTTAAAACCCCTTTCTTTTGCCTGTGTCATAGCATGCGTGGCAGAGGATATTTTAACAATACGCATAAATATTCTAGAGCACGTTAGTAAAAAATTAGGGTAATCTCATCATTTTGATATATTTTCATTCTGTTCTTGGTCCTCTTGTAATGTTAGATCTGATACACATTCTGAACAAACTGCTCTTGGTGAATTTTTAAACTTTGAAATCCTTTTTTTTTTTTTTTTGATAGAAAGACGAAGAGGGATTTTGACAATCAGAGAACTTCTTTGTGTGTTCCAGCAACTTCCCATTAAGCAGGGGCCCGGTCTGTCTTTGTATTTGAGCAGTAAAAATCATCCCAGAGTGCATGTAGGGGTGTTCGAGGCTTATTGTCAGATGTCATTTGTTTCATGAATTTCAACTATCCATGAAAAACTCCACTACTCAATCCTTCTGGCAAAATCCTCTACTTCAAGCAAAAAAATACTGATCATAAAGCTTAGATTTGTGTTGAGCCTTACCAGTTTCCAGCTTAGCCAGGTCAGTTGATAGGTTTCTTTTCTATAAAATGAGATTGGATTTGGTGGTAAATCCTATCTTTGTTCCAAAACTTCTAGGTTCTCAGCTTTTTAGAGCAGTGATGGACTGTTCCAAATAGAATGAAAAGACCACAATGTTTACATGTACTTATTTTATTGGTTTGCTTTAGATTGGGGCCATTGTTGGTGGGGTCCTCCTTTTGGTGGTCGCAGTTGCTGGTGTGGTGTTGGCAAAAGGATCTTGGAATTCAGACATCACTCTTCTGACCATCAGTTTCATCTTTCCTTTGATTGGCCATGTCGCGGGCTTTCTGCTGGCACTTCTTACCCACCAATCTTGGCAGAGGTACAGTTTAATTATCCGTACACTTTTTTTGAGGAGGATAAAGTAAACACTTGGCCACTGGCAGGCTTTGCTGCCAGGCTGTGTCAGGAGACATTAAGAGTTTTGACTAACAAGGTGGATGGAACAGGACCACTCATCATAAAGAGGGAGGAAATATTTTTTTTTTTATAAATTAATTTTTATTGGTGTTCAATTTACCAACATACAGAATAACACCCAGTGCTCATCCCGTCAAGTGTCCCCCTCCGTGCCCGTCACCCATTCACCCCTACCCCCCGCCCTCCTCCCCTTCCACCACCCCTAGTTCATTTCCCAGAGTTAGAAGTCTTTATGTTCTGTGTCCCTTTCTGATATCAGAGGGAGGAAATATTATGGTATTTCTCATGTAAATGAGAACAAAGGCCAGATTGATGGGAAATTGTAATCTGTGAAATTAGGATTGGGGTGTTAACACCACGTATTGAAATCTGGACACATTTCTCTTCTTATTCTAGTAACTAGATAGGGGTGAGATGGTTTCCTTAAATATAGAGATCATTCTAGGGCATGAGCAAAATTCAAGAGATTAAGCATTTTTCCATGGTTTGTGCTAAATTCTATAAAAGTGCTAATTATAAAGGGGAAGAGGAGAAAGAACAAACTGGAGATATAAAATAGGAATTTATCTGAAATATGATCATTACAAGTTAGGGCATATAATTTATAAATTTGTGAAATATTAAAAATTATACTCTGTGTTGTTATGTCTGTGGATGAGATGAGTATTGACATACAATGTTGGAGAGAACATAAATTGGCATAAACTCACTGGAAGGCAATTTAGTCATATCAATAGCCTCATAAATATTTATAGCTGTTCACTCAGTGATTTTACTTCTAGAAATCTGTTCTGAAGCTAGGACTACCAGATAAACACACGAATATTGATGTGCAAAGATGTTAATTGCAGTGTTATTTATAAATATAAAAAAGGCAATTTAAATATCTAACAATAGAGAGATATTTAATTCATGATGTGTCTACGTGATGGAATATGATGCATCAATTTTAATGCTTTTGGAAAATACTTAAAAGATAACTTTAAGAGAAAATAGAAAATGGGACGTATTTTGATTCCCAATTTGTGGAAAAAAGCAAAGGAATTTTATGCATGGAAAAATACTGGAAGAAATACACCATATGCTAAGTGTTTAATTTTGAGTAGTAAGATTAAGGCTAATTTTTAGTTTCTAAATATTTTCTTGCTGTATTTCCTGAGTTTTTCTTTTTTTTTTTTTTCTGAGTTTTTCAATGAGTATGCACCACTTCTAAAATCAGAAAAGAATTATTGAAGAAAAGTGAACTTGGTAGTTGAACTTCAAAGGTGGAGTTTGAGGAACAAAAAAGCTTAAAAGATTTAAATAAAAGAGAATAGAAAGTAGTATGCATTTTGATTTTTATTTTGTAGAATAAATCTGTTTCTAGTCTACTTGGGAAACATTTAGGATTATCCCAGGTACTGGATGAGGCTCTGCCTATTGTATGTCATTTACTTTTTTTTTTTTTTAAAGTTTTATTTATTTATTCATGAGAGACACAGAGAGAGAGCGCAGCAGAGACACAGGCAGAGGGAGAAGCAGACTCCATGCAGGGACCCCGATGCGGGACTTGATCCCGGGACTCCAGGATCACGCCCTGGGCCAAAGGCAGGCACTAAACCACTGAGCCACCCAGGGATTCCCTGTCATTTACTTTTTTACTAGAAGCCTGAGAAGTAGTTACTATTAGTAGCCTCAAATCCTTCATAGACATTAAGTAACTTGACCAAGTTCATGGTGAAGTTACGATTTGAACCAGGATTTGTTTATTAGCCAATAATTCAGAACACAGACTGTTAAGTGGCTGAAATATAATTGGGTCTTGAGAGAAAGTATTCCTATGGCAAAATGTAGTTAAGAATCTTGTTTTTTTCATACCTGATGGCTTGAGAAAGATTGGGATTGAGATATTGCATTTACTTTGTGAATGGTCTAGGTGTGAAGTCCAGCTTTGCAGCTTAATCATATCAAGTAATTAACAGGGGTCTGAAAGGAGTGCATGGCCTAAAGAAAGCATAGCAAGCAAGAGAGTAAGTAGAAAGAAAATAAGAGCTGCAGAACTTGCGCTGTACCAATTCTTTCATGCCCACATTGTATCTCCCCCTTGTTACCCCCACATTCCAAATCAGCTTGCATAGAGAGGCTGGTTTATATTTGGAAACACCTCTTTCCTCTCTTCACTTCCATCTATAGAAATCTGAAGACCCTCTTTAGAAATTGGAGACAGATGAAACTGCTTAACCCAGCCCCCAACGCCCTGCTTTTGTCATCCTTTTACTCCCTCCAGATTTTCTTTTCAAGTGAGGTTTATCTCTTTTTGCAATTAGAAAACCAACAAAATACAGAAACATAGAAAATAGAAAAATTGTGTTCCTAAACTCTTTCACCAAAGAGTTTTAGACATTTGGTTTTAGACATTGATTTTCATTTAGGGTTTTTGTGTTTACCTTCAAGTGTTGTTTCATATCTCTAATTCACCTTTCCATTCTCCTATCCAACTCTCACTCCACGCCGACTGGCTTATGGCATATGCGCTGCCTTCTAGTAGACACAGCTCATACCTGTCCCTGGAACTTTAATTGTTGTCAGTGTCCCATGGTATACGCCTCTCCCACCATCACTGTTTCATTCGCTTCTGCCTCTGTGAAGCCTTCTCTAGCCATTTATGCCACTTTTCTGAATTTCTATAGCATCTCCTTGACCCTCAATCATATTTTGTTTTGTGTTGTTACTGGACCTTTCCTGTGTGTATATCATGTCTTTCCATTCAGATTCTTAGGGCAGGGTTCCTAGGGTTCTGTTCTGAAATGCCCCTCAGCAGGCCACCTACAGAGAATGCAGACTCAGCAAGTAATTATTAAATGAGTGGCCTAAACATTTTTACTGGCTTAAGCTCATAGCTTACATTTTTTGCTATATAGAAGAGAAAAATTTAAGAGGAGTACTTATTGCTAGTATGTAACTCTCAAAAACATTTTTCATTGGTAGGTGCAGGACGATTTCCTTAGAAACTGGAGCTCAGAATATTCAGATGTGTGTCACCATGCTCCAGTTATCTTTCACTGCCAAGCAATTGGTCCAGATGCTTAGCTTCCCATTGGCCTATGGACTCTTCCAGCTGTTGGATGGGTTTCTCATTGTTGCAGGTAAGGAGAGTCCCCACTGGTTAGATTTGATTGCAAATTGTCAACTCAATTTACTACTTTTTCAGTCTGAATATGAGTGTGCTACTCTTGTGATACATTGTTAGCTTGACATTTCTGGGAAAAATAAAGTGTACAAACAAGTTCCTTTGCTTTCATAGCAAATATTAAAAATATGTGAAAATAAGCTTATAGTTATAAACAAATATGCTTCACAAAAAGCAATGCATTATTAGAATGTGGACTCTAGGACTTGATATGTCTCCATGAGCAATAATTTATCTTCAAAATGACATTTGTTATGTTTCACCAAGAGCCATGAGGTCTTCCAAATGCCAAGTTATTTCACAATGCTTCTGTGACTAAGAATTATGCTGAATGGTTGTGAAATATTTTCCAACTATAAAATATAATACATGCCGATATTGAAATATGTATTTGTATACATATATATGGGATATATATTTATCTATACAGCCAAATATTCATCATTTTAGAGTCAGTCATTACGTAGTTTCACAGAAAGTAAATTAAAAAAGATATCGATAGGGTACCTGGGTGGTTCAGTCGGTTAAGTGTCTGACTCTTGGTTTTGGCTCAGGTAATGGTCTCATGGGTTGTGAGACCAAGTCCAATGTTGGGCTCTGCACTCAGTGGTTGAGGAGGTGGTCTGCTTACAGATTCTCTCCTTCTTCTGCCCTCCCCTCACTCTCTCTCCCTCTGTCAAGTAAATCAATCAACTGTTAAAAAAGAGACATCAATATGTGTATACACATATTTTAATCTTGGGCCATTGTAATTTTCACTGTTATCAGGAAACAGGGTCTGAGTTCTATTCAGTGATACTGATACAATTGATTACTCATTTAGCAATCAACATAAGAAGTACTTGGGGTTTAATTTTACCACAAAGGACGAGAAATCTTAGCAGAATAAAACTTTCTAGTCTTAGGTCTAAGTTTTAATTCCTTCTCCTTAGTAAAATTGTGAGTGAGGGAAGGAACATGCCTGGCTTGTTCCCAACTATCTTCCAGCGCTCAGGAGAGCGCCTCATTGCAAGCAGGCACTCCACAGGTGTTGCTGGCTGACTGACTGACTGAATGAATAAATAAATGAGCCACCAGTGGCCTGAATGAATGTATGAATGGGTAAGCTGTCAGTGACCTCAATCACAAATGATCCATTCCAGATAGACATAGCCATTTTGATACATTGAGTTATTTTGCTCCATAGTTTCCTCTTTTTTTTTAAAAAAAATTAGGTATAATTGACATACATTATATTAGTTTCAGGTGTACAATATAATGATTTGTATTTGTATATATTATGAAATGATCACCACAATAAGTCCAGTTAACATCTGCCCCATATGTAGAGGTTTTTTTTCTTTGTCATGAGAACTTTACAAATTTACTCTCTTAGCAACTTTCAGCTGTTTAATACAGTATTATCAACTACAGTCACCATGCTGTACGTTGCATCCCCATTACTTACATATTTTATACCTGGAAGTTTGTACCTTTTTGTACCTTTGATTCCCTTCATTGACTCCCCCATCCTACCGCCCCCCCCCCCCCCAGCACCCACCTCTCTATTCTCTTTCTTCATGAGCTTGGTTTTGGTGTATTGTGTTTCCATTTTTGTTTGTCTAAGGTGTTTTATTTCACTTCTGATTTCTTTGTTGACCCATTGGTTGGTCAGTAGCATGTTGTTTAGTCTCCACATAGTTGTGAATTTTCCAGTTTTCCTCTTGTAGTTGATTACTAATCTCATACCATTGTGGTCAGAAAAGATGCTAGATATGATTTTAATCTTCTCAAATTTGTTAAGGCTTGTTTTGTGGCCTAACATATGATCTATCCTGGAGACTGTTCCATGAGCTTTTGAGAAGAATATGTCTTCTGTGGCTTTTGGATGGAATATTCTGTATATATATCTGTTAAGCCCATGTGGTCTAATGCATCATTCAAGGCCAATATTTCCTTATTGTTTTCTGTCTGGATGTTCTATCCATTGACGTAAGTGGGGTGTCAAAGTCCCTTGTTACTGTATTGCTGATAATTTCTCCCTTTAGGTTTGTTAATATTTGCTTTATATATTTAGGTGTTCCTATGTTGTGTCCATCTATATTTACAAATGTCATATCCTCTTGTTGGATTTACCACTCTTATCATTAGGTAATGCCCTTGTCTTTCTTTACGGTTTTTGTTTTAAAGTCTATTTTGTTTGATATGAGTAAGCTTACCCCAGCGTTCTTTTGGTTTCTACTTGCATAAAACATCTTTTTCTATCCCTTCACTTTCAGTATGTGTGTGTCCTTACATCTGAAGTGAGTCTCTTGTGGGTAGTATAGGGATGGGTTTTTTAATTTTATTTTATTATTTATTAATTTAAAAAAAGATTTATTTATTAATGAGAGACACAGAGAGAAAGAGAGAGAGAGAGGCAGAGACATAGGCAGAGGGAGAAGCAGGCTCCATGCAGGGAGCCTGATGTGGGACTCTATCTTGGGACTCCATGATTATGCCCTGGCCAAAGGCAGGTGCTAAAGCGCTTAGCCACCCAGGTGTCCTGAGATGGGTCTTTTTAAATCTATTCAGCCACTCTGTGTCTTTGATTTGGAGAATTTAGTCCATTTACATTTACAGTAATTATTGATAGGTATGTACTTGCTGACATTGACATTCATTGCTTTCTGGCTCTTTCATAGTTCCTCTCTATTCCTTTCTTCTCTTGTTCTCTTTCACTGTGATTGGATGACTCTCTTTAGTGGTATTCTTAGATTCCTTTCTCCTCTTTTGTGTATCTACTATAGGTTTCTGCGTGGTGGTTACCATGAGGCTTACACATAACAAATTGTATTTTTAACAGTCTATTTTAAGTTGATAGCAACCGAAGTTTGAACACATTCTAAAGCCCTACATTTTTATCCCCCTCCATGTTTTATGTTTTTGAGGTCATATTTTATGTCTTTTTATTTTGTGTATTTCTTAACTTTATGGTGGTTATAACTATTTTTTTTACAACTTTTGCCTTTTAACCTTCATACTGGCTTTATAAGTGATTAATTCACTACCTTTCTATATGTTTATCTTTACCAGTGAGATTTATACTTTCATATATTTTCTTGTTACTAGTTAGCACCTTTTCTTTTCAGCTTAAAGAAGTCCCTTTAACATTTCTTGTAAGTGTTGATGAATTCCTTTAGCTTTTGCTTGTCTGGAAAACTCTATTTCACCTCCACTTCTGAATGATAACTTTGCTAAGTAGTGTTCCTGGTTGGAAGTTTTTTCTTATCAGCACTTTGAATATATCATACCATTTCTTCTGGCCTGCAGCTTCTGCCTGAAATTCTGCAAATAGGCTTGTGGGGTCTCCCTGTATGCAACAAATTGTTTTTCCTCTTGCCACTTTTATGATTCTCTCCTTGCCTTTAACTAGCCTTTAACTATAACACTTTAGTTATAATGTGTCTTGGTAAGGCTCTCTTTGAGTTTGTCATATTATGGTTTTTCTTGGACCTGGATGTCTTTTTTTTTTTTTTTTCTGCCTTTCAGTTTGATGCTCTAAAATGAAGAAAGAGTCTCTTCTATATAAACTTCTGGGCACTTTTCAAAGGGTGCTCCTGGGCTGAGGCCTGGGGCAGGTGAGTCGGTTTGCAGTTTCTCCATTCGGCACACCCCTGTGCTTCTGATCGGTACTCTACCTGTTGGTCTTAATAGCCAGATGTTTTGGGGGTTCATCTCTCAGATGCCTGTCTAAAAGTTGGGGTGCCTGATCTAGGATATAAGTCCTTTGCTTCTGAGGGTGAAGCTCCATGTTTTGAGTTCCCTCCTGATAGTGGGTGGCCCTGTCTGGGGTGGTACTTATGCTGAGATTTTATCTCAGTCTTTCCTACCCACTTCCATGTGGTTTCCCTCCCTTTTGTTGATGTGATGGGGTGGTTCTGATAGTTTTTTTTTTCCCCCAAAGGAATTTAGTGTTCTGTGGGAGGAGCTAAGTTTAAGATCTACTTATGTTGCCTTCTTGAACCAGAACCCCTAGTTTCCATCTTTTTGCCTTTCTTTTTCCTCTTCATTTTTGTGTTTACACATATATGATCTAAAGCATACAAAGCCCCAGAGTACATGATGCCACTACATTACAGTCTTTGCTAAAGTTATTTTTCAATACTTGTGTGTTTCAACACCTAGCATACAAGATGTACAAGAAGAGACTGAAGAATGAACACAGAAAAAGGGACACAGGTTGTGCAGAAGGCTGCCATAAAAAGAAATCCAGTTCTCCTAAAGAGACTGGTGCTTTCTTGGAGCTGAATGAAGAAGTTGCCATAACTCCTGGACCATCAGTTGCAGTGGATCTCCACACAGCTCTTGAACCAAGCAGCCACATCACTTCATGTACCTAGTAAGGTTTGCTGGCCTGGCTGGTCTTCATCTTCCTCAGTGGCCAGTAAAGACAGTGCAGAGTTGACGTGTGTATCTCATTGGCAGGGCCTGTGGGAATATTTGAATATTTATATTTTCATGTGGTTTGTGAATTGTTATAGGATCCATTTTTGGGAATCTATTTGGCCTATTCCTGGGAGCTTTTTTTGGGGGTGGGGGGTTGCACAATATATTTATTGGCTGCTGTGTGTGTTCTTATCTTCCTTTGCAGTGAAGAGTAACACTTGTTGTCATGTGAAATCTTCCTGGATTAGATATAGCCTCCCACTGCATACAACTTTTATAAAAAAATGTGGCCATTTTTTAAGGGCTTGGAAATCTTTTTTTGGATTATAGATATAATACAAGTGTAGAGGGAATTAATGACCACTTGAGGTTAAAATGTGAATGCCCCGTATTTTCACTTCCTCATGATAGGCTCATGTATAGCCTTCTAATTTTTGTTTATATCATTTTAAGAAACGTTGAGATCTTTCCATATATACTGTCTCGTAAGTCACTTAATGACATATTATGGAGAATCTTGACATGGCAGTCTTTGTTGACTACCTCATTATTTAGAACAATGGCTTCATAAAAGTATTCCATTGCATCGAAGGACTATAATTTATTTAACCATTCCTTATTGGTGGGCATTTAGATAGCTTTGAAGTTATTGGTATTACAATGCTGCTACAAATACCTGTACTGTTGTGCAATGGAGGATCACTTCCTGTGACTTGAATTGCCAGGCCAACCTCATATTAAAACGTTGGACAGGCTGCTGTCCAGTGATGTATAGCAGTGCCTGAGTGGGGTTGGCTTCCCATAGTTGCACCAGTCTAAAGAATGATCAATTCTGATTTGTAAAAATATCTCATTTAAAATTGCACTTAGAAAATTATGAGTGAAGAGTATTTTTCATGATTACTTGCCTATTCATGTCCTTTGCCTTTCTATTGTACTTTTTCCTTTTTTATTGATACATTGTAACCTATTATGGATATGACCCTCTGTCTTGTTTTGTGAAGATTTTACCTACTTTTAATCTTTTATCCTTTTTCTCTTTTGCCATATAGAAGTTTTATATTTTTTACATATTCAGCTTTATTAGTCTTTTAAAAAATGCTTTTTGACCTTCATATCTGTCAAATACTAGAATATTTATATTTCTGTGTGTATTATGAATTGTGATAGCATTTCTTTTTGAGAATATATCTGGTCCCTTTGCGGGAAGTTGTTTGGGGGTTTGCATGATGTATTTACTATCTTGCTGTGTGTACTGTCTGGCAGTAGGTAAAACCCATCCCCCTCTATTCTTACATTATTAAAAATATTTCCCATATATTTTTCTATGACGTTTATGGACTAAATATGTAAATGTATATTCCATTTTGAATTTATGTTCTAATTTTACATTATAGTGTGTTAAGAATATACTTTTTATATGGTTAATTAATTGTTCCAACATCATATATTGAATTATTCATCTTTCCTGATTTGAAATGACACCTTTCTCATACAACTTCTTATATAATGTTTTTCCTGGGACTGTATTTAGTTTCCTTTTGCTCTGTTTTTCTGATTTGTAAGTTTTGAAATGTGTGAGGAGTATTGTCTAAGATTTAGTGCTTTACAATTTTCAACATTCCCAAGAACCTGCGGATTAGTATAGTGATAATGATTATTGGGGCATTTTCATGATAATTAACACCTCTGTGGTGATACAGAAACAGACCCATTAGGTATCATAAGTATATTTATATGGAAAAGAACTATGCAGGCTGTGACATGTTAGTTCTCAACTGCTGCTTTATTTCTTGAGGATTCCCATTTGTCTACCTGATAAATGCGTGTGTGTCAAGAAGCTGGTGTGTGCTGTGTCCAGGCACCTGGGACATGTAGCAGTAACAAGGCAGGAAGAGTTCCTGCTGGCATGGTTCATAGTCTAGTGGGAATAGATCCCTGCATTGAGCAGTCAGTGGAGTTGGGCATTAACAGAAATTCCCCATTCTAAAATGAGCATTAATATGAATTTTAAAGAATCCATAAAAAATGAATTTCTAAATTGTTTTTCTAAATAGGCACCTAACACAAACTGGTGAAATCCAACGCTCCAATTCTGAAAACACGGAGTTTGCTGTTAGTATCTACCAGTCAGGACAGGTCTGGGGACAAGACCACCAAAGCCATCCTTTAAGACAGTCACAACACAAATCAACGTAAGGGTTTGAAAGTAGTCTGGTCAGAAAACTGCCATCTTCAGAGGTGGTTTGTAAATGTGTCACTGAGAAGTCGAAGCAGTCACGTTGTCCTGGAGGCTACACATTAGCATGAGGAATGTAATGGGGGGGGGGCAAAAAGCTCCAAATGAATAAATTGCATTTTAACTAATTTACATAATCTGGGTTCTGAAAGTTGGTGAGTATATGAAGCCCAGAAGTAGGGCCCGAGAAATAATGTTAAGAAGGAGTTCAGCTCCATGTCTGGAAAAGAGCTGCCAGAGAGCTGAGGCCACATAGCACAGTGGGAAGAACACAGGCTCCTTGCTGTATCCCACGTAAAGAGCCAGGGCGCCTTGGGAGCTCTGGGTGGAAGTTAGGTGGACTTGGAGTTGAATTCAAGCTTTGCTCTGTGGGCAGCACTGGGCAAGTGCCACAGTTCATCCTAGACTACACCCTGGCCTGACCCAGTTTAATAAGTCATAGTTTAGCCTCTAAGCAGCCTTCTGACCTGCCTTTGTACTTTGCCCACCGCACAGGACCCCACATGAATGACTACTCATTCCACAGGACAGAGCGAACCTAAAAAGTTGGTAAAATAGCTTATTAGTAAGTGTCCCGAGTTTGCTTAGCGTGACCTCTAGAATACAGTTTGGGGTGAATGGAGAAAATGGATGAAAATAGGTAGTCTTCTTCATGAAGCTGAAGACTACTTATAAACACTTCCGGTCTGTGAATTCTCAACAGTTAAAAATTCAGATGTTTCTGGGGTCAGGAAGATCTTAAAAGATTGACAGTGTTTGCTACTAAGGAATGGCAGAGCTGAAAAGACACACGCTGCTTGCTTGCTTGCTGCTACCCTGTATCTACTGTTTCCAAGATTTTGTTCAGGATAGCAGTATGACTAGCTAAAAATAGCTTTCCTGAAAGTAGAGATGCCTATGTGACACAGTTCTTGCTAATAAGATAGAAATCCGCTGAGTGATTTCTGGAAAATTTCATTTTCTTGCCCTAGGCACTGATTGATCCTTTCTCCTTGTCAATCCTATTTCCTTCCTGGAATGTGGATTTAGTAGCTGGAGCTGAAGCAGCCATTTTCAGACAGTGAAGGCAAGGCCAGGATAATTCTGTATCTGCTGACATTCTTGAACTATAGACTCAACTCCAGCAACTGCATACTTTTGAACCTGCTTTCTTAGCGAAAGAAATGTCCAATTTGTAGATGGCCATTTGGTTAGTTTTTGGCAACTTGTCAAATGCAATTCCAAATTATTATATTACATTTGCTTTGGCTTTAAAACATTATGCAGGTTAGGGACACCTGGGTGGCTCAGGGTTGAGCGTCTGCCTTTGGCTCAGGGCGTGATCCTGGAGACCCGGGATCCAGTCCCACGTCTGGCTCCCTGCGTGGAGCCTGCTTCTCCCTCTGCCTCGCTCTCTGTGCCTCTCATGAATAAATAAATAAAATCTTAAAAAAAAATATTATGCAGGTTAATGTATAATTTGTTACATTTATCTCCACCATAACAAAGTCCCTTGAATATTTCTGAATTACATAAAATGGGATCACGTTCTTTCACTGCCAAGGTTATCTATCACCAGAGGATAACTTTGGTGAGCTGTTCTTTTAATTTCTTGGATATATCCATTTAAATTCTAGTTATTTTATTTATTTATTCATGAGAGAGAGAGAGAGGCAGAGACACAGGCAGAGGGAGAAGCAGGCTCCATGCAGGGAGCCTGACGCAGGACTCGATCCCGGGTCTCTAGGACCAGGCCCTGGGCCAAAGGCAGGTGCTAAACCGCTGAGCCACCCAGGGATCCCCAAATTCTAGTTATTTTAAAAGCAAGAGATCTAGCATGCTATCTGAAACCACAGATGTGAACACTTGATTTTTTTTCTCAACTATTTTTCTCCTTTAAACATAATTCAGAAATATTTTTATTTTTTTAAAAAGATTTTATTTATTTATTCATGAGAGACACACACAGAGAGAGAAAGGTAGAGACACAGGCAGAAGGAGAAGCAGGCTTCCTGCAAGGAGCCTAATATGGGACTCGATCCTGGATCCTGGGATCATGCCCTGAGCTGAAGGCAGATGCTCAACCGGCTGAGCCACCAGGCGTCCCTAGAAATATTTTTATTAATGGCATTTACCAAAAGTTTTGATTTGGAGACAAATGCTGTTTCTAAATTTGCAATACTTAGGACTATACTTAAAACTTTTTTTTTTTTGTTTTGTTACAACACACTTCAGTTTCTGTAGCACAGTTGTCATGGGGAAAGAGCTGTTCTGGCCACCTTGTTTCCCAGCTTCTTTGCACTCGGGGGCACCTTATGGCCAGTTCTTGCTGATGGAGGGAGTGGCAACGATGTGCTTTGCTTTTAGGTCTGTCCACCTCAGAAAATCCCCCGTGGGTGGTCCTCTATGCTCCTTCCCCTTTCTGGCTAGGGGAATGGAGACAATTCCCAGGATGACCTTGGAAGTTGTGTGTTGATTATAGAAACTCCATCAGCCTGGGTTCCTGAAAACTGGAGAGAGCTATCTTGCCGAGCTGTTCCCCTACTTAGAACTGCTAGATATATGAGAAATAAGCTCCTATTAAGTTTGAGCCATTACATGCTCTGGTGTATATTTTATAGTACTTGGCTATCTAATGTGTGTTAAGAGCCACATTATATTTATCCATTCATTTGCTATTTGAGTGCCTCCATGTGCCACTCTGGCTCTGTGGCCTTGCCATGTGAACGCCAAGTGCTTTATGACCAGAGTAGTCCTAGCAAATGTCTCATCCCATTCCATGGTAGTGGAGCCAGGTCCCAGATGAGGGCGGTAACATGTTTGCTATAATGAAGTTTCCATTCAGGGGTTGTAAACTGAAACCACATTTTCTTGCCACAGTTTCCATTTCCTAGCTACATTCTTTCCAGAAAAAGGATCCTTCAGTTTTCCCCTCTCCCATCTCTGTTGACTGCAGATGATAGCTAATCACCTCCAGCTGTACTGGCTCCCAGCGCCCTGCTGGCCTGGTTTCCTGTGCTTGTGACAGGAAAACAAGGACTCCGGATTCCAACGCGCTCAGAGCAGAGGTTTCAAAATATCTTTTAAAGCAATAGAAACCTTTTCTTTCTTTTCAAGTGAAATCTTCAGCTACACTGCAATCTATAAAAAACTGATCTGATTGAAGTAGGAACAGTGGTGGTGATGCTTCTCTTGCCAGATCTGGAGCTACTTCAGGTCGGGTGGGCAGTCAAATGTATGGCTGTGGGGCTCGGTGCATTTACTGATATATTGTGCCCTCAAACAACCTCTGATACTGAGGATTGGGTTCCAGCAAATCATTGCACTTGGGTAAGATCAGAAATTCAAACTTACTAGTTCCAACTGGTTAGTTCCATGAGCACGAATCAAGCGGTCTCCGGGGGTCGCACTGGCATCACTCACGGCCGAGGGGAAGACTGCTGCTCGCCGAATTAGGACTGAGGGAAACGTGGTCCGGGTTGCGAATCAGAAGCAGGCTCTCCGAGGCAGATGTCTTTCCCTTCAGGCAGAACCAAATATAACCTCCCAGGAAATGTGATACTGTTTTCTTTTGATTACCCCTTGTCAGCTTAGATATTCTGAGGTTTACTACAATTGGAACTTGAAAGTATCCTGATTTATGCATCAGGTGCCAGTAAGCTGGCACCATTCTCAGGGAGGCAGAAGGGAGACGGAATGAATGTTCTAGCTCCTGTTGGTCAGTACATGACCCTCATGTCAGACGCTGATGAAGATCTACCAGGGTTTCTAACCACACTCTTGGTCCCTCTGGCTGGCATGACTGGGACCAAGTGGGGAGACAGGAAGTTGGGGTCCAGGAGTTCTTGCTTCCCCTGGGGCCTGGGTGTTGTTGAGAAAAAACACAGAGGGGAGGTGGGTGGGGGAATGGGATAACTGGGGGATGGGCATTCAGGAGGGCAGGTGATGTAATGAACATATGCCATTGATGAATCAATAAACTCTATCCCTGTAACTAATAATAAACTTTAGGTTAACTAATTGAATTTACATTTAGCACTAATTGAATTTAAATTTAGTCCATTAAGTGTCTGACTCTTCATCTCAGCTCAGGTCTTGATCT